TTCTGATTCAATGAAAGGGAGTTTTTTTAAAAAAAAATCCATGCTGGCTGGGGAATTCTGGGAGTTGAAGTCCGTAAGTCTCAACATCGCCAAGACTGGAACACTTCTGATCTGTGTGATGACCCAAAGGGGCACAGCACAAAGGCAACAGTCAGATAATCAATAGGAGTCTCTTTTTTTATCTCCATTTTCCTCCAATGTCCTGGTTATCTTCTGGCTGGAGGAAAAACTCTCCCAAGAACAGCCTTTGACTACAGAAAACCAAGTCCAAAACATGGTCAACACAAACTGTAACTTAAAGTCCAAACAAGCCAAACTGAAGTAATTTGTTTGGCACGGCAGGAGCAAGAATTTCAGATTTGAAGGCATGGCAAAACTCACACAGTTGGGAAGACACCAGGAACACAGATAAGCCACGACAACACAGGATAAAGTCACGTTTGCTCCCAGCAGCCTGCCACATGCAGCATGCCTTTCTTATCAACTGTCTTCCCACCTGTGGCTAATGAAGGGAATCAGGGCCCTTTCCTCCCCTGTAAGCCACGCAACCCATGTTGCTCTCTTCTCCATTCCTTCCTGTGTACCCTAGGAGGAAGAGCGAGTGGGCCTGGGTCTTCCGCTGAACTCCCCCTCCCTTGTTCTACCTCTTCCCTGCTCTGCCCAAGCTGGACTTTGTCCTTCCCCAGTTTCCTCCACAGCCAACGGAGCCGCATTCCCATTCCATGTCAGCTGTCCGGCTTCCTCCTCGGATTCAGACTCTGACAGGGGCAGGACAGATCATTTTCTTACATTAAAGCGAACAAGAGAGTTGCAATTCACTTTGGAATCATCTCATCAGAATCTAAGGACAGCCTGATAGCTTGGTCAGGCCAGCAGTTGGTTTACAGAACAGAACAGAATAACAGGGTGAGAAGTGACTTTGTAGGTCATCTAGTCCAACCCGGTGCGGGGGGGGGGGGGGGAGAGGTTTAGGCATTTGGGATGGGGAAGTGAGATGGTGTGGAATAGTCCCGTGAGAATTAGAAGGGCGCTGCTGAGTGGCGTTGTTTATATTTCTTCAAGGCCAACCGTCCTGAGGAACACAACACCTGCAAAGGAGATTTCCCCATAACGTCTTACTGGATGCTGATTGGACACTCTGTGCTGGACCATGGGGTGATTTTCACTGTCTAACTTTTGGGCAGTTTATTCCAGATCTTGCCTTTCATATCCTGGACATAAATTGTTTCAACTTCTACCCTCAAAACGATGCTATAGGGCACTGCACACCAAAACAACTAGACACAAGGACAGTTTTTCCCCGAACACCATCACTCTGCTAAACAAGTAATTCCCTCAACTCTGCCAAACTATTTAGTAAGACTGTATTACTATTCTTCTTCTTATCCTTCCTATTACCTATCTCTTCCCACTTATGACTATAACCATGTTGCTTGTATCTTTACAATTTATATTGTTTTATTTGTTCCCTAGTATGATCGGATTGCTTATTAGTAACCTATGGCTATCACTAAGTGTTGTATCTTATTCTATTCTATTCTATTCTATTCTATTCTATTCTATTCTATTCTATTCTATTCTGTTTCTGTTTCTGTTTCTGTTTCTGTTTCTGTTTCTGTCTCTGTCTCTGTCTCTATCTCTACTTCTATTCTACCTCTACCTCTACCTCTGTTCTATTCTATAAAATAAAAAAACAATATAATAAAAATAAATAGATAATAAAAAAATATATATATGGCCTTCGGGGGCTTTAGAAAATAGCCTGACCCCTTCCTCCTCTGTGTGGCAGCCCCTCAAATATTGGAAGACTGCTCTCCTGTCTCCCCTGGTCCTTCTCTTCCCTAGACTAGCCATGTGGCGTTAAAGCCATTTGGACTTAACTTGACTTATGACCACAACTGAGCCCAACATTTTTGTTGCTAAGCGAGACAAGTCAGTAACATTGCTGTTAACAGAATCTGGCTTCCCCATTGAAGTCCCTTTTTTTCAGTGTCCCTGTAACTTTGAACAGTCATTGAAGGAACTGTTGTAAGTCAAGGACTAATAAGAAATCCTAGGACGTGTGTTTTGTTAACATCCAAGATTCAGCACATTGTACAGAACCAGCCCAGGCTGTTGGAATTATAGGACACTAAATCATCAGCAATTAAGTGGGGCTGCTGAAATAAATGATTTTCCTTAATGAGGCTCTATTTTGTGTAATTAGTTTAGGATGTAGCATACAAAGAAAATACGAAAGCAAATAATGAGGAAGGGAAAAGGGAAGGGACGAGTGAGCAGAAAAAGGGGAAAAAGAAAGAAAAAGCGTTGACTTTCAATTCTCTTTGGTACAGTAGAATAAGGCAATTATTAGGTTCTTATTTTTAGAAGTACTTAAGAATAGACTGGGTGGAGGTTGAAGAATTACAAAGATGGATTTAATAACCAAAAGTTAGATAAGAATTTGTCAAATGTAGAGAAAGAGAGAGAGAAACATTCTTTTATTATCCTACTGGACATCACCTGAGCTGCTAGCTCTCTAGGTAAGCCAGAATAACTGGCTTTCTTCTGATTTAAACTTCTGAGTAACCATGCATATTAAAAGACAGAGAGAAGAAGAATACATCTGCTTTTCAGCTTCTTGAGTAATTCTCTCCTTAACTTACCAGACCTGAGGGGAAAAAAGGATTCCTACGCAAGCTATTTATGATCTTAATATTTTGTTTAATTTAAATTGGGTGGCCAGGAGGAGGATTTGAACAAGAAAATCTCTTGATACCAGCTTTTGATCTCATCCCCATTTCCATAGCAACTGGGGTTTTTGGGGGGACGGGGGGGGGGTCTTCTGGTCAAGACAGTTGCTGCTCTGTATAGCTGTGATATATATGATTTTAATTTCCTTTTGAATACCATGTATGTATGTATGTATGTATGTATGTATGTATGTATGTATGTATAGGTTGACAAAATCAGAAATGAGGAGGTGATAAGCTGCCTGGGAAAGCCAAGGGAAATCATCAAAACCATTAAAAAAAGATCCCATAGGGGATCCCATAGGGGCTCCTTCAATTTGCATGTATCTTTGTCCTTGTATATGAAATATGTGTTGGTTAAGCAGTGTTCTGCTAGTTCCATGAGGTGTTTAGCTGGTTGGTATTTATGGAATTATTTATGGTATTCTTGGAACTAGCAGAACACTACCATTCCTAGATGTACTAATCTACAAAAAAAGAGATGGCACACTAGGACACAACGTATACCAGAAGAAAACACACACCAACCGCTACCTCAACTCCCAATCCCACCACCACCCAGCACAGATGAACTCCGTGGCCAAAACACTAATCGCCAGAACCAAACGCCTGGCAGACAAGACACACATTAAGACTGAACTATGCATCCTGACTAAAGTACTGACAGCCAACGGCTTCCACAAAAGCAAAATCACCGGCTTGATCCACAAAAACACACTGAAACATAATGGAGACCTAGAAGATGAACAGACCTATGGAACAGCTGTCCTGCCCTACATAAGAGGTACTATAGACAAAATCAGTAAGATACTACACAGGCATCACATCAAGACTGCCTTCAAAACAGACAGAAAAATAGCAGCCATCCTTAGAAACCCCAAAGATAAAATTGACCTGGAAAACCAAGGCATATATGAAGTCCCCTGTGCATCATGCCCGGCCACATACATTGGACAGACCAATAGAAGAATAAGTACCTGTCTGAATGAACACAAAAATGCAGTAAAAAAGCTGGAACACACTTCCTCACTAGTCCAACACATGAAAGCCACAGGTCATAGCATCAACTTCAATGGCACCAAAACCCTAGCCACTATAGAAAACCCCAGCCACAGAATTATCAGAGAAGCCATAGAGATTGAAAAAAGACCTGAAAGCATGAATAGAAGAGATGATTCCATCAGACTGTCAATTATTTGGAAGCCTGCACTCACTAACAAAAAAAATCTCCACACCACAAGCCAGGAAAACACCTGGGCACAAACAGATCCCCCCTGATACCTCCAGCTCAAACACACCCCAACCAGGCACCCAAATGAAACCTAGCTTCCTAACAAATGATAGCCGTCCATTTACTCGGAGCCAAGCTGCACTAAAAGCCTCCAATACAGGAATACAATGTTGCCAGCCAACCAAGACAAAAAAAGCCACAAAACAGACAGAAGATATTAGAAACACCAATGAAGCAGAACACAGCAAACTCCAAGACCAATAAACACAGACCAAGACTCCCAACCAATCAGGATGAAGAAAAAACCATTCTGGCACAGCAGTAGGCTAGCCCCAAATTTAAAACTGAAACAACTGTAAAAATCTGACTTACAGATGAACACAATACAGGAGCCTGATGATGGCAGATGAGATTCTGCCGAAACGTTGCTACAACTTTAAAAGCACAAGTATAATGACGTGGGAAAATACCTGAACAAAGCTGAATACCATACATGTAAGTACCGGCGAAAACTTAAGAAAACACACACACACACACACACACACTATACAACTATCTCTATCTCTATATATCTATCTGTCTATCATCTCTACCTATCTCTCTCTCTCCTTTCTAGATAGATAGATAGATAGATAGATAGATAGATAGATAGATAGATAGATAGATAGATAGATAGATAGATAAAATTTTGGGGATGTTGCTGCTGTTATTACATTTTGAACACACAGACAGACAGACACAGGTAGTTTGGCATTTTGGGATGTCTCTGCCGTTATTATTATTGTTATTATTATTATTATTGTTATGATTATTATTATGATTATTATTGTTGTCATGATTATTATGATTATTATCATTATTATGATTATTATTATCATTATTATGATTATTATCATTATCCTTGGGATGGTGATATTCCTGGAAGCAGTGTGTCAAAATTTTAACATGACCCATTTTGTATACAGAAAAAGGACAAGGACAGTTTATCTTGTCTTATCTAGATGTCACATGGAATGGCATAAGGATCACAGCCCAACCTTATCTGGCTGGTTTGCTCGTCGATGGCATCTACGGCACTTTCCACGGAGCTCAGCAAGGACTGAATCTGATTGGCCGTCTCTTTCAGCAGGAAACGGGTCACGAACTGGTCCACGTTTGTCCCTCGTTCGTAGACCTGGGAAAGAGGAAGACAAGGGAGCTCTCTGAGAATGTACCTTTAAGACAAAGACAATGCCACCTGCCCCCCAGGTAACCCTCGGCTTACAGCCTTCCGCTTAGCAACAGCTCGAAGTTAAAACAGGATTATCACTTCTGGAGTTTGTGCTTGTGAAGAAAAAAAGAAATGAAACTTGGATCATGGTTTTGTTGATTAGAAAGATCTATATGTTATAGAAATAGAATACCTATTAATATACAATTTGTGCTATTAAGATTTGGAATAGAGGTAGACATTAGAAAGGAGAAAAATATTACTATGCATATTCCTATATAATATTTAAATTCAGTACATAGAGGAAAGGATCAGAAGTTGAAAGATGATTGTATTATGTACGATGTTATTATAACAATGTGAATATAATGTAATTATGAGTACCAAAATGGTCAACATTATCACTACTACTTGGTATCAAAATTAACGATACCCAGATGCACACTGTTCATGTATTTAATCCAGTTTACATGCATCTCCAAGCAAGAATTAAACACCAGATTCTTGTGGTTTTCTTCCCATAAAGGAGGAGTAAATTTTCTTCCTTCCCCCTTAATAATGCCACTTCCAAAGCTACCTCCAGATGTGGCCACCTTTAAGATGTTGATAGGTGCTACGTTCTCGAAGACATCTGGTTTATCACCCAGTTGGGAAACTTATAGAATTACATGGGGCTGAAAGGACCTTGGAGGTCTTGTAGTCCATACTTATGCTCAGGGCAAGATACTTTATACTATCCAGGACCAATAGTTGTCCAGTCTATTCTTGAGAACCTCTAGTAACGGAGCACCCACAGCTCCAAGAGGCAAGTTCTTCCACTGATGAATTGTTCTCATGGTGAGGAAATTTCTCTTTACTTTTAGGTTGGATCTTTCTTTAACAAGCTTCCATCCACGAGTTCTTCTCCTGCACTTTGTGCTTTGGAGAATAAACCAACCCCCTCTTCTCTAGGACAGCCCCTCAAGTAGTATTGGAAGAGACTGCGATTAAACCACACTTAGTTCTTCTCTTCATTCAACTAGACATGCCCAGTTCCTGCAACCCTTCTTCATAAGTTTTAGCCTCCGTTCTCTAACCATGTTTGTTGCTCTTCTCTGCACTCTTTCCAGAGTCTCAACATCTTTTTTGTATCATGGTGACCAGAACAGGATGCAGTACTCCAAATGTGGTCTCACCAAGGTACCAATACCTCTCGTTGTCAGAAACTACTCTTAAGTAACTCTGTGTGTCGTTCTTGGTTCTTGAATCTGACAATTGATGAAAGTCACTTGGGTGACACTGAAATCAATTCTGCAAATTCCACCCGGACTAAGATGTTTTCATCTGTTAGATCTCTCTTTCTCTCTCTCTAGCCAACTCTATATCCTCCCATATATATATTGTTTACACTATAAATACAAAACACAGTGCAGCCCTTTTGGTATTACTTTACCACACATACCAAAGATGTAGTTAAACCCATTAAAATAGAAATTAACATTTTGATTATTGGTACAATATTTATATTTTGCTTCCAATCCTCCTAGCTGATTTTGTTCCAACCTTCCCTTCTTTTCTGCAGCCACATATAAAACGTATTCCAAGTTTTGTAATATTCTGAATCCTCCTTATTTTTCATTTCTAAAGTTAGTCTGTCAGCTTCTGCACATGCCGTTATTTTCCTTATTATCTTTACGTCGAAACTGAAGAAGCTTCTTGGATGAGAAGTGAAACCTCTTCAAGGAAAAACAAAGAAAGTCTAGCTGCCTCTTGAAAAAGCATCTTCACGTTGTCAAGGTTGAGAAATGCCACTCTAAGGGTTGACTTTTTCATCCTTAACGGGAGTACTTCAAAAAGTGCTATGAACAAAATACCATTCCACTCAATCATTAAAATATCCTTAAATGAAGAGTCTGTTCCAATGGTCCTTGACTTATGACCACAATTGAGCCCAAAATTTCTGTTGTTCAGGGAGACATTTGTTAAGTGAGTTTCACCCCACGTTGCGACCTTCCTTGCCACAGTTGTTAAGTGAATCACTGCAGTTGTAAAGTTAGTAACAAGGTTGTTAGGTGAATCTGGCTTCCCTGTTGACTTTGCTTGTCAGAAAGTCAGAAAAAGGAGACCATACGACCCCAGGAATAGAATAGAATAGAATAGAATAGAATAGAATAGAATAGAATAGAATAGAATAGAGGAGGAAGAGGAAGAGGGAGGAAGGAAAGTAGAACAGAACAGAACAGAACAGAACAGAACAGAATAGAATAGAATAGAATAGAATTCTTTCTTGGCCAAGTGTGATTGGACACACAAAGAATTTGTCTTGATGCAAATGCTCTCAGTGTACATAAAAGAAAAGATACACTTGTCAAGAGTCAAGAGTAATCACTTAACCAAAGTCATGGGGTACAATAAGCAATCAAATCATACTAGGAAACAGTCAATATAAATTGTTGGGATATAAGTGACAAAGTTGCAGTCCTACAGTCACAAGTAGGAGGGGATGGGCAATAAGGAGTGCTGAGAAGACTAATAGTAATAGTAGTGCAGAGTTTGTAAATAGTTGGACAGTGTTGAGGCAATTATTTGTTTAGCAGAGTGATGGCGTTTGGGAAACAACTGTCCTTGTGTCTAGCTGTTCTGGTGTGCAAGGCTCTATAGTGTCATTTTGAGGGTAGGAATTGAAACAATTAATATCCGGGATGTGAGGGGTCTGTAAATATTTTCACAGCTCTCTTTTTGACTCGTGCAGATACAGGTCCTCGATGGAAGGTCGGTTGGTAGTAATTCTTTTTTCTGCAGTCCTATTTACTCTCTCAAGTCTGTGTCTGTCTTGTTGGGTTGCAGAGCCAAACCAGACAGTTATAGAGGTGCAGATGACAGACACTGCAACAGTCAGTTGCCAAGCATCTGAATTTTGATCACGTGACAGTGGGGATGCTGAAACGGTCATAAGTGTGAAAAAACTGTCATAAGTCCCTTTTTTTCAGTGCCATTGTAACTTCAAACAGTCACTAAACTAACATTTGTTAAGTCGAGGTCTACTTGTACTTTATCTCACTACTTCTCAACTGGTGGCACCGAGACCCGAGGTGGAACCAAGTTACAATTGCAGAAACTTAAATTCTTCAGAATTTAGATTTGTTAATGAGAAGTACATTCACTGTGAGAATACTTATTATGTTCTTGCAAAAAAAGGAGTCTTTTTTTTTGCAACAGGATGTAATAACCTGGTCTTTGTGTAGAGCAATTAGAGCAACTTAACATGCGAAAGTCTTGGAAGAAGATGAGTTAGAAAAGGAATCATAATTTGAACATGTCTCCATGCATTTTTCTCTTGTTAAATATAACACAAGGAAAGGTTACTGTCACTGCATCCTTTTATAAAAATGAGGAGCCAAGGAAGAAAAAGTGATTATTTTTCTTTGAAGGCCAAGAGGAAAACACACACACATACACACACACACACACACACACACACACAGGAGGTTGGAAAGAAGGAGCAAAGATGGAAAAAAGGCTCCCGTTTTTATCAAGAACTATTTTTAATATCTAAGCAAAGAGATAATAAAAGCACATTGGCATCAGTCATTATAATTTATTTGAACACATTCAAAAGCAATTTGAATAATCAAACTTCCACACACGTAAATTGCTCTGGGTTTATGAACAGAAGATTAACAAAGGTCTGTTCCCATGGTAACCAATGAAGGCAAAAACATTTCAGCTCAACCAAGAACAAGTTTCCACCTTTCTATTTAAAACCAAATTGAGAAAGAAAGAAAGAAAGAAAGAAAGAAAGAAAGAAAGAAAGAAAGAAAGAAAGAGAAAGAAAGAAAGAAAGAAAAAAGAAAGAGTGAGTTAGTTAAAGAAATTAACTGTGCTTCCTACTCCTTTACGCTTTCAACAAGATAAAATTAGAGCTTATTCTTTTGCCATAAACATTGTACTTTTATTGAGATAACATTACCTCTGGCTTTTGTTTAAAAAACAACAGCCAACAGCTTCCAAATTATAAGAAGCAATACTTTCACTTAATTTAGCTTCGTTCTAGTTGTGGCACCACATTTTAAGAAGTAAGAACAACTGAAAAAAAATTTAAAGAAGGGAAGTCTGAAGGACTAGACGAGAGAAGACAAAATTGAACATGGAAAACTTAATCTTGAGAAATGCTCATTGGGAAGGACATGAGCTTTCCGTATACTGAAGGGCTATGAGTTGTCACTGAGAAGTAGTTTGACCATCCTCCACCACCTAGAGCATTTCAGGAACAGGATAATGGTTCAAGTTTCAGGAAGCAGCATTCTGGTTAAAAGTCAGGAGGATTTCCCTAACAGTAAGAGCTGTTGGGAAGCAAAAGCAAAGCCTGAAGTAGATGACCAGCTTCTGTTTTGTGGAGAAGCAAAGGCTGCATAGGCAGATGTTAGGATGCTCAAGAGGTATTTCAGTGTAGTGATTAAAGTGCTGGTCTAGAAACTATGAGACTGTGAGTTCTAATCCCACTTTAGGCATGAAAGCTGGCTGGATGACTTTGGGCCAATCAACCAGGAGATGGTGAGTTGTAGGTATGAAAGCCAGTTGGGTGATCTTGGGTCAATCACCAGGAAATGGAGAATTCTAGTCCCATCTTAGCCATGAAAGCTGGCTGGGTGACTTAGGGCCAATCACCAGGAGATGGTGAGTTGTAGTCCCATTTTAGGCATGAAAGCAATTCAGTGATTTTGGGCCGATCACCGGGAGATGGTGAGTTGTAGTCCTGTCAGATATGAAAGACAGTTGGGTGACCAGGAGATGGAGATGGAGAATTCTAATCATGCCTTAAACACGAAAGCTGGTTGGGTGACTTTGGACCAATCACCAGGAATCCGTTAGTTCTAGTCCGACTTTAGGTATGAAAGCTGGTTGGGTGACTTTGGGCCAATCACCAGGAGATAGTGAATATTAGTCTGCTTTAGGCATAAAAGTTCGGTTGGGTGCAGAGGTGA